CCTCCTCAGAAGCCTCCACTCGCCCCTTTGCCTGAACTTAATTTTACAGCAAAGCTTTCGCCGAAACAACGATATTCATTCATTCACATTTTTCTGCGAAAACTTTTGTTGTGATACGATTAAATCAAATCGATGTAGATATATTGATTAAGGTTTATGAAAAGTGAAATAATTTCCCATAATAATGGAAATATATTGTAATCTTCAAAATAGGACTGAATTATGAAATTATAACATTATACGATGGTATCATCAATTTTGTTTATGACTAGAAATCAAGGACCCATCAATGGAATATTTTAAAATTGAATAAATTAAAAAATACCCTAATTTTACATACATAAGTTTACATACTATTTTTTCTAAATCTTTTATTTCTCTAAATTATATCACTGTGCCTTTTAATAATGTTTTTTATTTTGTTTCCTTCAGTTTTTTTTTTTAAAAACTGGAAAACTAAAATTTCCAGTGTGTACCTGCTATTTTACATAGTAACAATACGTGATAATAAAGTCGTTAATATACGTACAATCATCCGATTTTCACAACTGCACGACAAACTTTTAAGTTCCGTAAGGAAAATCGAATTTGAATATGGATAAACCCGATTTACTGTAACCTACGAGTATAACTCTTTAGGAAAGAATCGTATGACACTTTATGATTTAAATTCTATTATTTTAGCACTAATAGTTAGATGTACTCGTATGTAATGACTAACTAATAGGTATTAAGTTTTTTCTGTTACTAACAAACTATGACCGAAAAAGAAATGTAGCTCGAAATAAAGTTTATTATTATTACTAGCTGTTGCCCGAGACTTCGTCCGCGTGGTAATAGAAAACATACGAACTATATAAATAACAAAAAGCTACGTATCCCTCGGCAACCGGACACTTCTCGGGGATGAACCTTATCCCAAGTGTACTCCAGACTTTGTTTTATATCTGTGTCAAATTTCAATAAGATATGTTGAACCGTTGCAGAATGATCGACTAAACATTAAGAAACTAATTTAATGAGTCCCACGAGAACCGTAACTATACCCGGGATAAAAATTGGCCTATGGATTCTTCCAGACTATGCTCTAAACCTGTGCCAAATTTCATGGAGATACGTTCAGCCGTTTAGGCTACAAACTCTAACAAACATCCATCCATCTATCGTAACTTTCGCACTTATAATATTTACATGATTTATTTATATAATATGATTATATTATTTAGACTTTTACATATACTTCTGGTTTTAACGATAACAAAAGTATCCTAAATTATTCGGTTATTAATGAATTGAAAACAATCCAGCCAACAAAACTGTTTTCGAGTGTGTAGTCATGGGGCAATGGGCCAAAGTGACTCACAATCGATTGCAAGAAAAATTCCCCAAAATGCAAATGTCCTTTTTTAATCCAGACTTTTATTTCTTTATCTGTATCTTACTAGTATAATTTCGTTTTCGTAGTAATAGTAATTAATAAGAGAAAATCCTTAAAATATATATTAAAGTTATAATTAAAACTAAAAAGGCTACTTAATGTAAACTTATTGTTTTAAAATACATAAAATGTACGGCGCCGTGTCTGCGATCCTCGTCACATTAAGACACAATATGTCAAGCCCCGTTAGCCCAATAACTAATGTCACTATAATGTGTACATATTACTGTTAACTGACAAAAATCTTTTTCAGATGGATACTACGACCTTGGTTTTAAAAGACGCAAGACTGTTTTGAGTATAGACAATCGTAACAAACCTAAAAGTCAAGACACAAAAACATAGGAACAAAAAAGGATAGGATATATAACTTTTCTGTACAGTTAGCTTCATAAACATAATACATCTACGAAACTATAAACTTGCACAGTCCTTCAGTTTAAAAATATAAATGCACGTTTGTATACTTCAATTACATGTATTCGTGGTCTAAAGCATCTGAACGGATAAAAGTATACCTATTTTTAACACCAAAAACGTAAACAAGTTTGTAATATTTTGTCACTGTGTTTGAAGCTGACGCTACTTTTTTCGTTTCTAGATAGGCATTCCGTTATTTTGTCTATATCAAGTGTACAAATAAAACTGAATCTCCTTTTTAAAAGAATGTGTATATTAGAGAAACTTTGAAAGTAGCGCCAGTGGTGGAGAAATTGAGAAGCAAAAGGTTAGCGTGGTATGGACATGTTATGCGACGACATGATGGGGACTTAAACCAGAAAGTGTTAAGAATGAATGTGGATGGCTACAAAGGAAGAGGAAGACCAAAGAAAGTGTGGATGGAATGTGTGAAAGAGGATATGCTTAAGAAAGGAGTGGATTTAGATAAGACGGCTGATAGAGATGTATGGAAAATCAGCATATACTGTGCCGACCCTCCGTAAGGGATAAAGGCAAGTTGATGATGATGTCCTTCTTAAAAGAAAGCTTTAAAATAGCTTAAGTTTTTTATAAATACTTTCAATAATACATCTTTAGAAGAAGTTAAAATAATATGTTGAAACATTTTACTATAGATAATACATTTTAATATGTTTTTACTAATTCTCGGATCTGACACTTATTCACGTCGCTTGATAATGCAGATCACGTATACGAAGACACTGAAAGTTTCATCACTTCGTACTTCCTTACAATCAACGGAATATGACTAGGGCTGGGTCATGATAAAACAATGAACATAGCCGGAAAGTAAAAACGATATTCCTTATTTAATGTCATTCGGGAAATCCTGCTTTCTGAAATATATTTACAATTAGTGGCTTATATTATTATTATTAATTAAATAAATTAATGATAATGCAGGAAATGTATTTATTATATGTAACATTTATTAATATTTATTGCAACAACTAATATAATTTTATAATTTTACTAATATTACTTACTTACTTACTTACTAATTACTACTTACTTACTAATTTACTTTCGCTCGCGACTCCGTCCGCGTGGTATTAAAAAAAACAAAAGTGAATAGCCTATGTATTCTTCCAGACGAACTTCTACATCTATACCAAATTTCATCGAAATCCGTTCAGCCATTTAGGCTACAAACTCTAACAAACATCCATCTGTCCATCCATCCATCCATCTAAACTTTCGCATTTATAATATTAGTATGAAGTATGAAGTATGATAACTGTGAAAGTTTAGATGGATAGACGTTTGTTGGAGTTTGTAGCCTAAACGGCTGATGGGATCTCGGTAAAATTTGGCATAGACGTAGGGGCTAGTTTGGAAGAACACATAGACTAATCAATTTTTTTAATTCCATGCCGACGGAGTCGCGGGCGAAAGCTAGTATTACAATATAGTTACATATCTAAGTAAAATTTTCATAGTTATATCTTAAAGGTCTTACAGTAGGAAACATGTAAACAGTGAAGGCGATATACATTATTTAGGTAACTACTATTTTATTTCTCTTCCGATGACAAGCCATTTGTAATTTTAAGAAATTTCTTATAAAAAAAAGTCTTATTTTTACCTTAAAAAGAGTTTTACATTTCTATTGAGTATTTTCCTTAACAGTAATTTCATTTAAACCATATTTATGCTATGTTTTCTTTGAAATATGAGAGGTCCTTCGTCATAATAGTTTGTTATCGTGCTGATA